ACAAAAGCCAAAATTGACAAATGGGATCTAATTAAACTAAAGAGCTTCTGCACAGCAAAAGAAACTACCATCGGAGTGAACAGGCAACATACAGAATGGGAGCAAATGTTTGCAATCTACTCATCTGACAAAGGGCTAATATCCAGAACCTATAAAGAACTCAATCAAATTTACAAGAAAAAAACACACAACCCCATCAAAAAGGGGCAAAGGATATGAACAGACACTTCTCAAAAGAAGACATTCATACAGCCAACAGACACATGAAAAAATGCTCATCATCACTCACCATCAGAGAAATGCAAATCAAAACCACAATGAGATACCATCTCACACCAGTTAGAATGGTGATCATTAAAAAATCAGGAAACAACAGGTGCTGGAGAGGATGTGGAGAAATAGGAACACTTTTACACTGTTGGTAGGACTGTAAACTAGTTCAACCATTGTGGAAAACAGTGTGGTGATTCCTCAAGGATCTAGAACTAGAAATACCATTTGACCCAGCCATCCCATTACTGGGGATATATATACCCAAAGGATTATAAGTCATGCTGCTATAAAGACACATGCACACGTATGTTTATTGTGGCACTATTCACAAACAATAGCAAAGACTTGGAATCAACCCAAATGTCCATCAGTGACAGACTGGATTAAGAAAATGTGGCACATATACACCATGGAATACTATGCAGCCATAAAAAAGGATGAGTTCTTGTCCTTTGCAGGGACATGGATGCAGCTGGAAACCATCATTTTCAGCAAACTATCGCAAGAACGGAAAACCAAATACCACATGTTCTCACTCATAGGTGGGAATTGAACAATGAGATCACTTGGACACAGGAAGGGTAACATCACACACTGGGGTCCTATTGTGGGGAGGGGGGGGGATAGCGTTAGGAGATATACCTAATGTAAATGACGTGTTAATGGGTGCAGCACACCAATATGGCACATGTATACATATGTAACACACATGCATGTTGTGCACATGTACCCTAGAACTTAAAGTATAATAATAAAAAAAAGTCTACTGTTGACTTGAAGCCTTACAGATAACATAAGCAGTCAGTTAACACATAGACTAGTATCTATTAGGTTGTGTGAAAGCAGTTGCGGTTTTTTCCTTTACTTTCAAAAGCAAAACCACAATTACTTTTGCATCAACCTAATGTATATATTTCATGTATTTATGACATATCTTAAAATTTTTTTTTGTATTTCTAGGCTACACAATTCATCTGAGGTTTTTTCAAGTTGTCACAAATTTCCATAAAATTTTCAAATACATTTATTGAAAGAAAATTTGCGTATAAATGGATTAATGCAGCTCAAATCCATGTTGTTCAAGAGTCAACTACATAGTGTCTCATTGGTGTGAAATTTAGGAATTAGGCTGTGCTAGTAGTTGCATAATCTTAGGTAAGTTGCCTCTCGAAGCCCCATTTGTCTTGTTTGTAAAATAAAGGTAGTGGTCCTGGCTAAAACAGTCTTTAAAATCCCTCCCAGTCTGCCAGCCTGTGACTTTTCTGCCACTGCTGGTCATTACATAGGCAAGTGTACAATCTAATGCCTGCCTCCTTAGGAGCATTTGTTATGTTGTTTAAACTAGGAGCAAGCATTGATCGTTGCATCTCTTAAAGCAGCTTGGAAGCACTTCCCAGACACTTCTAAGTGAATGAAAGAATATGCATTTGGAATCCTGTGAGTTGACCCTTTATGTTCCAAGGAGAGACACCTGAGAACTTTGTCATTCCATGATTATAAACCTACCACTGCAGAGTGTCACTTTCAACATTTATCATTTTATCAGAGCTGCTATTTTTCTGGTTTCAAATGGCCACTTTTTTTTCCGTGTTTTTACATTTTCCTCTTTTCATCACCAGCATTAGCAGTTGGTGTTTTTTTGGGGAGGCATTTTTTCCCCAAAGAAATAAGTTATTGCTTGAGAAGAATGCCTGTATACACAACAGAAGTCATCTTCAGATGCTGTTGTGCTGTGTCATTAGCCACACAGCCTCACCAGGCATCCTCAAGGCTGTGCAGAGCCACTGCAGAAGCACAACTCAAAACCTCGTCTTTGCAAAACTGCCAGGGACTCTTAGTGTGTTTTACTTACTCCTTTGCTCTTGATGGAACAGTGCTCCTGAATGGTAGAGAAGACCCCCGGTCATCAGTGTGCCACGCGTACTGCAATCACAAATTGAGTTAGTTTACAATTTGTCATTTCCCGGTCCCAGGTTCCAGCCTCCTTTCAGGAATGATGCCAATGAGAGATAAGGATATGCAACTCCATGATTTTTTACGAAAGTCAGTGGGAGACCCAACGGGGCTGCATGAACTTTGTAATATTTAAGCTCAGTTTAACCTTTTTATACCTCATTCTTTGTGGCACAAGATCTTCCCTGTTCTCACAAGGTAGCTTTCCACCTCTAATGACTATTACTTTGTTGGCATGTGTTGTTTTAGTTCTAGAATACTTACAATGATTACCATAGCTGGAATGCATTTCTCCTCTTCTCATTTTATCTGTTTCCACACAAGATCTTGGCAACATTGATTCCTTCCCCTGAATTCCTAGACTTTCCACATTGTATTTTTATTTCTTCCATCTAACCCTGATTATTTGCATCCTCTGGTGCAATATGTTTTCCTTTTGCTCAAACTGCCCAGTCAACAAGTAGTCTGAGTGCCTCTCCATCCTCATGTTTCCATCCTGTGCCATATTTTGGTTTCAGCCATAGTGAACCGCTTGTTCCCCTCCAAGTTCTGCACATTTGCAGCTCCTCTGAGCCTTTGCCTGTGCTATTCCACACATGTGACCTAACTGAAATCTACTTGCCTTGAGACTCATCTTGAGTGCTTCTCCACCCAGGAGGTCTTCTCTGGTCACTCCCCACTGGCAGCCCCAGATATTCCACCTGTGTTCACCCACAGCATCCTTCTTGGGTTGTGAACATCTTTGTCTCCTTGAAGACAGAATCTGTGCAGTGTTTGTGGTCCTGTCTTTGTTTTGGTGCTCAAATACATTGAATGGGAATTTTTAGTTTGCATGTTGTGACACAGAAAACCTACTGCCTAATGTAATACGGTTCTCCTTCAGACTGTGCTCTGACCTCAGTAGGGAATGTTTCTACAATAACAGCTTCCCTTTCCCACACCTTCTCAATTCACTCCTTTATAAAGTTCATCCTAGTAATCTCTAGAAGTAATTCTGTACAAAGCAGGAGATTTGGCAGGAACTGTATACTTTCGAATCTGGCAAGCCAGGAGGGTTTAAGGTGGCTATTAAAGATTTTACAAATGCCATTTATACCAAAGAAACAGCAGTAGCATTTATCACTTGCTTTCTTGGCTGCAAAAAAGTCTCGGCTGAGCCAAAGCTGATTACGTTGGCCATGCAAGCAAGGTAATTTATTCATCATACACAAAATCTCCCCTTAACTAAAATCTGAATTTTAAGTGCTGACTGAAAGGAGAGCTAATGTATCTATCAGTGCACAATCGTCCCGTAGACCAAAAAGGCACTTAAGAGTACTTTTTAATCATTTTCTTTCCTAAACCTAATTATTGTTGACTTTTGCTTGCAGATGTCTAATAATTAACTTATTCATAGAACATTAGTCTGTATTTTTTTTTTGTCTTCACCACTCTCTAATTCATATTTTGCATGTCGTGGGGCTTTATATCTACATAAAGCTTTTCCAGATTTCTGGGTAGCTTTTATTAACAATACCTTATAAAACACAGGCTCAGCTGAATCCCTTTCCTGGGAGAAATTTGATATCTTGAGAGAACCAAGATTTCTGTTCTTCACCTTTCTCTGATTTATAGATGTGTCTCCAGCTTGCCTCCCTAAACTCTAAAGATCACCACTCATCATCTTGGTCCACCCACAATCCAACACTGTAGACTTTCTTCTCTGGTTGTTGACAACTTAAAATGAATGCCAAGCTGAGATTTCTCCGATTCCTAGCTTTCTTCACAGACAACCTGCCCTTGAGGCTGAGCAGACCTAAGTGGGCATTCCACTCCCAGTTAAATCCCCTGACAGTTTCCCCTACTCGTTTACTTGCAAAATAGATCCTTCAAAGAGGGTTCATTTTGCTGTCTCCATCCCTGTGTCCAGTGTATGTGTGGTGGTGGTAGTGTGGGAAGGGGACACTGCACGTGCTCTGAAATACATACTGCAATTTTAAGTTTCTCAGCTTGCTAATAGTACAATGAAGAGACCAGAGGTTGAGGGACCCCTGAAGGGCTGAGAATAGGTAGGTGTGTGTATACAAATAAAACACGGTGGGGTTTAAATGTTGTCTTCTTGTTAGCAAGTGCAAATTAAAGGAAATAGGCCACTGAGTGGTGTTCTTTCATTCAGTGTTCCGTTTTCTCCTCATTGCATCCTCTCTTCCCACCCCCTAATTCTACCTCCTTTCTTTGGGAAGTTAGCCTCGTCTTTCTTGGGCATGCTGATCCATATATCTTTCCAAAACGTCTAGTTTGATCTGCACAGATGAGGTGCTGGTTTCTCAGTAGCTCCAACCCCATCTCCAACCTCCAGCCTCCTTCAAGAAGGAAGCTCCTGTGGGCCCTCCACGTGGTAGGGCATGCCGTTGCTGTGTGCTAGACTCTTAGTTATTTGGTTCAACAGTAGCCTCAGTGCTAGCAGTCTTAGTTCTTTTTCCCCTCGGAATTTGAGGAGGTGAAGAAATCTCGTTTCTTCAGGAATCTTTAGAGGGGAAGAGTTTCTGCAGGCTGATAGATGAATCTCGTTCGGTACATGGGTATGTTATGTGGACACAGAAGCAACCTTTCAGCTTCACTCGCTGACCATAGGTGTGACCATCTATTTGGGCTGGGAGGAATCCTGGTCCATGTGGCCTGGGGGAGAAATCTATTTTCTCTCTGAATGTCTTTTTCCTGTCCTTAAAAGACATATTCTCTAGGGGTTGTCTTAAATCCTCTGTCAGTGGTGGCCAACTCTCCTTTTTTCTCAGGGAGGAAGATGAGTACTCAGAACTGCGATCAGAACTCAGCCAGAGCCAACACGAGGTCAACGAGGACTCTCGAAGCATGGACCAAGACCAGACCTCTGTCTCTATCCCCGAAAACCAGTCTACCATGGTCACTGCTGACATGGGTGAGTCTGCCTGCCGTTACCACCAACCCAGAGTTTGGTTTCTGGATTGTAATAGAAATTTTAGAAATGTGAGGCAGCCTGAATTAAAATTTAATTTTTCAAGGAGTTTACTGAGTGGATGAAGTCACATGTATTTCAGTCCCTTACACATTACTTTGTTGGTCAAAATGGAACTGAAGCTTTCTGCTCTGATACAATTGTGATTCAAACATAAGTCACTTCTATTTGAAAATTCTGGAAGTAGGGAAGCAGTTTAAAAGGCTATTACAGCATTCCAAATTACAGTAATATCTGAACTATGATGGTGGGAATGGAAGGGATGGGATGGGGGCCAACACATTGCAGTGGAAGAACCCCAAGAGGTTTTAACAACTACTTGGGTTGGGTAAGAAGGAGGAGTCCAAAATGACTCCAATGTGTTGTTCCTCAGTGACTAAGAGAAGGATCATATATTCCTTAGTAAGGAAGTTTTGTTGAGAAATGAGTTGGGAAATAGTCATATTATGTTTGAGGTTGTAGAGAAATATCCATATGTAAATATCTGGTACGATGTATTTTAAACTGTAGGGTGTGACCTATTGGGTCTTGAAATTATATGAAAAAGTATTTTTAAATGAAAGCTAATAGGAAAGCAAGTGACAGTATTGTTTCATGAAATTTGTTTCTTGCATGTTTGTAGGCAGTAAGTTGCCAAATGAATGTTCTAACTGGGTTGCAGTCAAAATGTTACAAAACCACTGGTCTTGCCTACCTGGATATTTGGAAAGAGATTGAGGTTTAGGGAAGAGGCTTTGAAGTTATCTGGGCTAAGGTGATCCCTGTGGTTCGAAGGGTGTGGAGTCAAAAGAGGGAGGAGCAGCATATCTCAGGACAGACATGTTTACATGTATGGGAGAGAGGGAAGAAGAACCAGGAGAAAGAAGAGTGCATATAGTCAGTTTTCTTGAGTTTTATAATGAGTTTTTCTTGGAAGTTAAAATTTTGTTAGGGAGAGGGATTTTAATCAAATATTACATATTTGAGTTTAATTAAAATCCTATAAGTGCTACAACATTATGGAACACCGTAGTATGAGAGTGTATCCAAAGAAATTTGATTCAGTCTAGGGTTACAAGAAGGCTTCCTCTAGGAAGGAAGGAAGGAAGGATCTGGAGGATCAGTAGGAATTAGGCAGGTCAAGGAAGAGAATAGCATCCAGTGAGGGAGAGGAATGCATTTAAGGAGGTGACTGAAGATCATCATGGATGGAGGACACAGAGGTACAAGAGGGGAGCTGGAGAGGTAGGCAGGAGCTAGGCCATGCAGAGTCTTACAGGCCATGCTAGAGACCATGTTTGGTCTTTACCCAAAGATCCACAAGAAGCTACTGAAAGATTTTTTAATAGTGGGGGAAGAGAATGAGATCATCAGATTTGCGTTTTGAATCAATCACTCTGTAGTGTGGAGAAAGAATCCATAGATGAAGAATGAGTTGGGGAGGCTAGCTTGGAAACTGTTGCAGAAGTCTAGATGGGCAAAATTGTTGCTCAGATTAGGGTGGTGGCAGCTGAGATTTAATAAAGACGTAAAATTGGCAAGATTTGCTGAAGGATTGGAAAGCGATTGAAGGTGGAAGGGTGTGTATGCCCCATAAGAGTTTATTTGCACAATAGATGGACAACAGGGCCACTCACCAATAGGGCACATAGGAAATAGGACCCCGTGGTTTTGCTTTGAGTTTTGTTTTGCTTGGGGCAGGAACTATATGATAGGTGGAGATCGTGTGTTCTGTTTGTCCATGGGTTTATAGTGTCTTGAAGTATTTGAGCAGAGATACTTCAGAAGGCAGTAGGTATTCAGATAAAAAAAACCAAGAGGAGAGACCTGGGCTGAAGAAAAGCAGCTGGGAGACATCAGGGTGTTTGCACGTGATAATTGTTGACTCTGTCATTGCCCCATTTGTATCTTACTATCACATTGACATTTTAAATCACATAATAGTATTTATTTGCTTGACTTACTCTCCCACTAAATTCCACTAGGCAGAAGCATGTTTGTTTCATCTCCTAGTATATCTTCAGAGATTATCACAGGGCCTGGCACATAACGTGTTTAAAGATAGTAGTGGGAATGAATGAATGAGGTAATAACCAATCCACCAGTCAGCCAGCCAAAGATGAAGGAATAAAATGAGGAGAGTGGTATTCTGGAAGCCAGTGCGGCAGAAGAGGCTCTAACAAGGAAGGAGCGATCAGTAGTCTGGATTGCATCTAAGGCCAAATAAAATGCATTGAAGCCATTGACAGCTGTATGTTGGTAGCAGCTTAAACCAGGCAGAAGTATCATGAGGAGTGAAGACAATTCCCCCAATTAAACCGAACCGAGACTCTGGGCTTTATGTTACAATACACACAACTCCCTGCAACCAGACCATGCGTGTGCCAAGTTCATACCAGCATGCTAAGTTCATACTCACATCCTGACTTCATACAGGCATCTTAAATCTCTAACCCTGGCAGCCCCAAGCTTCAGGACTCTGTCTTCCGCCTTAGGCAGCCAGACAGATTTAAACAGCCTGGAAATTGCTAATCATTGTAGAGTGTCAACCCTATACTGATCCCTCTATTCACTTCTCTCAAATTGTATTTTATGGAATTAATAAGTGACCTGCACTCCAACAAAGTTCCATAATTAAATACATTTGGGAAGTGCAGGGATAAACCCACTTACATGGATGTCTTTCCTGTGGGACTTCTTGGACCTCCTGACATGAGGTGGTATCTGTAGCACTGGTCCTCACACAGAAGCCAGCGTCCGCCTGTTGGCGCCACGGGCATCCTCATTTTCCCAAACTATTCTTTTCATTCTGTCCCTCACTTAAAAACACATGGGTTAGTTATAACTGGTGGTAGCCTCTTTCCTGAGAAGACTGAGTTCCTGGAGGGGAGTGACCTTCCCTGCCCAGTGCTGACACGTGTTCTCTGTCCACACATAGAAGCTTTTTTTCTCATTTAGTCAGCAGACTCACTTGGGGCTGTGCTAGGTACTGGGGATAAAAGACAGAATCTGCTGTCAGGTCACTTTGCTCCCACCCTCCAATCCTTCAAGCCTAGAGTTACTTGTAGATTCCCAGCACGCAGCCAACAGGGTGTTCCCTGCTTCTGGCCTCCTCCTTGGCCGTTTGTTCTGTTTTTCTTCCAGCTCTAGCCACTCTGGCCTCCTGGCTTCCTGTTCCTCCAGCCTGAGCTGCTTCTCCTGCCCGGGGCTCTGTGCTGGCTGTTCCTTCCGCCTGGAGCCCTCCTTCCTCAGCAGCTGTCTCTGCAAAGGACTCCCACCCTCCCCTCTAGAGTCATGCCTCATCCCTCACTCTTCTGCAGCCACTCCCTGCTTCATTTTCTTTCATAGCATGGAGCACTCCCTGAGGATGGATTGTGTTTATACTCTCTTCCTTGTGTGTTATCAAGCTTTATCTGGCTGTCATGCCAGAGTGCAGGCTCCACGCGGGCAGGGACTTCACCTGCCTAATTGATCAGCATAGCAGTGCCTGCACATAGGAGATACTCACATACTTGAGCAGCAGTGAATGAACCCCATCCCAAAGCTCACAGTTCTTTGGAGGATGCAGACAGGTCCACAGGGAAGACCTCACAGTGCAGTTAAGACTCCATAGCAGGCCTGCAGTGGCCCTGGTGATAACCTCGGGGAGGAGCGTGGAAGAACGCTTCCCAGAGGTCACAGCCGAGCAGGAATCCGGGGACTGAGTGGGGTCGGATCCCGTGAGGAGGAGGGTGCACCAGGCAGGGGTAGCTCTGCCAGATCCCCCAGGAGGACAAACACTTGGGCACAACAAGGAGGAGTTCATGAAAGCTGCTCACACAGCGTAGTCGTGTGTTTGTTCAGCGGAACTGGCCGTCTGCCTCTTCTTACTCCTTTGCCATTTTCCAATTAAATTTCTTCAACAGGGAAAAAAGCTTCCATATATAAGCACCATTATAGGAAATCATTTAAAAGTAGCCATTTCATTATAGTTGCTATATTTGCAAACCTGCATTAGTAACCCAGAGATTTTCTTGAGCTGCAGAATTTGCTGCAGTGTATTTGCTGATCTCCAAAGATAATAGGACTAAGTCCAACCTATTCGCTTCATCAAAATACACTTTCTTTTGTTTTCATACCCCACCCATCAGAGTCCAGCTGCCCCTTCAGTAGGCTAGCTCCTGGGCCCTGTCTTCCAAGCCCGGAGGAATAAACGATCCAATTAAAAAGTTCTTTGACTTACCTAAGCAGTCAAATAAAGGAGAAAGATTCCAGCCTCTGTCACGTTGCATGTTTTTTTTTAAAAAATTCCCTCTTTTCAAACCTGGTCACACAATTGTTCAGAAAATAAAGGTAATTAAGTGGACAAAGCCAAGGTAGGAGTCATTGCTTAGAATTTTTATGTCCTCCATCTGGCAAAGGCTTGCCGTTAAAAGAGAGGGTGGATATACCAGCTAACATGCTTTACTCACTTACCCTGTGTCAAGCATTTACATGCATCCCTCATGTTTAATCCCCAACCCGGAAAGATGCCCTGAGGAGCTCCTCATCTGTAAAATCAGGATAATGGAGTTTAGAGAGGGTAAGTCACTTGTCCAAGGCCACAAAGCCAAGAAGTTGTTTTTATTGTTGTCGCCTGTGTTTCTATAGATGGCTTTCCTTTGATAGTCCTTGGTTTAAACAGGAAGACATGCCAGTGGTTGATTTCCTTTGCTTACTGCAGTCCTTTGAGGTCTCTAGGGCTGATGGGGGAATTAGGGAGCAGCTGTGTGATCACAAGCACCTGGCTTAATAGCGAAGCATTTGCAGTCAGATTTTGTGGCCTTTCATATTAAAATAGAAACAACACTCTTGGACCCAATGATTCTGGGTATTGCAATAGAGCAGAGCACAGATGTGTGCACACAGGCTCATTGCATCATGCACGTTAGAGCATGTTTGGTGTCCTTTCCTGCGGATCATTTTCCCACCTCTGTTAATGCAAC